CAGAGATGAACCCCCCAAGCCCACACTCACTGCCATTGTGTCGACACGGACTCATAGTGACCCCGTAGGACAGGGTAGAACTGCCCTTGTGGGTTTCCGAGGCTGTAACTCTTTGTGGGAGTAGAGAGCCCTGCCTTTCTCCTGAGGAGGAGCTGGTGGTTTTGACCTATTGACCTCGAGGTTCTCCGCCCAATGTGTGACCACTACACCATCAGGGCTCCTTGGAAATCCCATGGCACAATTCTGCTTGCTCTCCCTGCCCCACCGAGTCAGAGTGACTGGAAGGCGGCGGCTTTTGGTTTGGATACTTGAGTGCCAGTAAAGCCACGCCCAAACCACCTGCGGGTGACCCTCGGGATAGGGTCCAGCTGCTCGTCTGGGCCTGAGACTCAGTCTTAGGAGAGCAGCCGGCCTCAGCTTTCTCCGTGCTGCTGGCATGTGCGAACCGCCCACCTTGTGGCTGGCAGCCCAGGGTTTGCCCACAGTCCCACCAGAGCACCTTAACAGCAATATAAGATGGGGACATGTTGAGAATCACTGATTAGGCCAGCGAACTGCTCTAAGGCTTTCATTGATCATCTGTGAGTTTCCATCAGCCTGCCTATTCACAACAGACGAGGCACCGCAGTAGGTAAGCATGACGTCCATCAAGTTTCCAAACCAAGTCCCCGGCCTTTGGGTCAACCTGACTCACAGCGACTCCTCCGTGGGCCAAGCAGGACTGCCCCAAGGATGTCCAAGGACTTTGATCCATAGTCCATCAGTTTGAAGCCATCAGCCCTTCTGGGGGAGAAAGACGGGGCTTTCTGCCCCTCTAAAGTTAGTCTCGGGAACTCAACAGGGGCACTTCGAGCCCGTCCTCGAGGGCAGACATGAGTGGACTCGGTGCTGGTGAGTTTGGCCTGGTTTATTCTTTCGTGACAGTTACAAAGCCTGCAGTCAAGGGCAAACTACGCAGTCCAGCTGCACCTGGAAGACGGAGGTAGGGAACTGGGGGGACGTGCCTGGAGCAGGGGCGCTCTGCTCGCTCGACTTGAAGCGCCGATGCCACTCGATGGGGCAGGCACACACCATTGAGCTGGTGTTCTGTTTTGCCGCGAGTCTTCCTAACACCAACACAACGAGCCAAACGACACCTCCAAGAATACGTTCACGGGGGTTATTCATTCAGACGAGTGCCGATGACCAGGGGGAAAATCCACCAAACAACAGACCCTGTTGTCCCAGCAACTGTAGTCGATGCCAGTGAGCGTCCAGAAAGCCAATCCTCGCCATCTTCAAACACGATACTATAAATGGTTCCTGTCTCACAAGCCTCTTCCGCTTGTAGTATCCAGAACTTTCTCAATGACTGATTTCAAACAATAGCAGGGCCATTGGCATGCCACTGGCTAGCTCCTGGGCTTGTGTAAAGAGCACCCTTTATATAGCAAAACGGTTGTCAGCCACCAGAGTAACTTACACACTCGCCTCTGAAGGGGAGACGCTGCAAGGGGGGGCAGGTCCAGAATGATTTCCTGCTGGTCCTCAAAGCTGTGTGAAGCGCAAGAGGCCCAAGGGGAGACCACGGGTCCAGCATTCTGAAGCCCCAGCTGGTGGGCGGTTCGGCCCCCTCTCCCTTCCCTAGCAGCACCCTCTGGTTGCCAGCCAAGGCAAACCACTCCCTGCTGACCGTTGGCCGGTATAACATTCACCGGAGGACTTGCCAAGGTTGTGCCAAGGTTGTCTTGTTAGAACTTTCTTCAGCAGAGAAAGGCGGCCGGCTCACAAGGCAGGGCTGCCCTCTGGTGTCTGCTTTCAGTCCTCTCTGCCCTGTCGGGGAGAAAGGGAGAAAGGCAGCGATTTCCACGCCCCAAACCGCAGGACCGCCTCAGACACTCCCTGGGGCAGTTCTGTCCTGTCCCGCACCATGCTGTGAGCCAGCAGGGACTTGATGGCACTCAGTGTCTGTGGGAGGGAGTGTCCCCAGCGACCCCAGGCGACAGAATTGCTGATACGGTTTTCTTGGATGTCATCTTATCTTTATCATTCCTTTCCTTCTCTTACAATTAGCAGTGGTTGTTTCTGATCAGTCACAGCCTGGCGGTTTCCACAGGGACATCGATGGCCATTCTCACCTCCTCTCCGTGTGGCTCAGCCACACACTCACCGTGACCCCACAGCTGCCCACTCCATGGTTGCAGGGCTTCCTGCTGGGTGAGCTGAGCTGCCAGCCTTCAAGGCATGGCCGCTGGCCTCACAATGCGCTTGCCACCCCGCTCAGAGGCACTTGGCTGCCAGGATAGACACATTCGGACGAATGGCTCCTGGGGGCCATGCAGGGGAGGTTGGGGGGAAATGGGGAGCTGATAATGAGAAGAACGAGAAGAAAATGTCCTAAAACTGACTGTGGTGGTGCTTGTACAACTCTTCTTGATGTGGTTGAACTATTAAATTGTATATGTGAATTATATGTCAATAAAACTGTTACCCCCCACATACACACAAACCAAGCCACCAGCGGGTACCTGCGTCTTGTTCCACAGCACACCTTGGCCAGGTGACGTGTGTAGAGCACTGTTTGTGACGAGTGTTTGGTGAACGAGGTTTCTGACCATCCCCCTTGGAGCGGACACATCCACAAACCAAACGCCACACCAAAGCTGGATGGTGACGACCGATCGCATAGCTGCCCGCGTCCAGGGTGAACGTTTGAGGACAGCAAGAGAGATGTGCTGGGAAGGCTGCCAACATTCAGAGCGATCTTCTCCGCGGGTCTCCAAGAAGCCACCCTGGCTTTCCAGCAAAGGAGGACAGCTCCCACCAGTGACGCACAGGGGACCTCCCGACTGTCACCCAGGGCCCATCAATCACCCAGGGTAGAGCCAGTGAACGGGAAAGCGTGCCATTTTATTGAGAGATGCAAACCACCGTTAACAGTTGAGACATAAAGTCCAGTCACAGAAATTCATCGTCACAAGGACAGCCTATCACAGAGCGCAGATGCTCTGGAATTCCGTAAATTTACCGGCACACAGAACCTTCCGGCTGGGAGTTTACTGCCAGGGCTTGGCCTCACACTGGGCTGCTCCCGAATCTGGGTGTGCATAACAGACCAAAGTTTTAATTATTTCAGCTTGACCCTCCTATTCAGTGACTTCACAACACAGGGGGAAGCTCAAATACATCAAAAGCACTCACTTAGCTGAGACCAGAAGCAAAGCCTGGCCCCTCCCAGAGATGGGGCATTTGAACTCGAAGTGCTCAGGGCACAGTTCACAGCCTGCTGTTGTTATGTGCTGGGAGGGGTGTGACTCACAGCAACCCGCTAGGGTACAGCAGAACTGCCCCTTGGGGTCTCCAGGGCTGCCATCTTCACAGAAATGGATCGCTTCCTCTCCCTGCCTCTCGCTCAGAGCCGGGGTGGTGGTGGTGGTGGTGGTGGGGTCCACACTGTTGGCATTTGGGGTGGCGGCCCTGTGCTTAATCCACCACGCCACTCTCATCAGGGGCGAGAGCCAGCAGCTAGAGGCCAGAACACCTCGGCAATTGGAACACAGACTCATTACTGGGCACTCTGAAAATGTTCAGATTCCGGACAAGTAGGCAATTCATCCTCAAATGTTTGTTTCGTCTCGCCCTGCCATTATTTAAAACTACATAAGCTGACTGGTTTTAGCCAAACCAAAGGGTTACCCACAATCACGGTAGAACACAGCCGGGCAATTTCATAGCTGCCAAAGGATGTGATGGGCAGAGATTCCAAACTGAACTAGGAATCCCGGTGTGGCCTTGCCTGTGGTGTCCCGGTGGGAACAGTTTGTCCTGCTCCCTAAGTTTCCACTTGGTATAAGAGCGCACCAATGGCGTCGTGGTCATGGGAAATTCCCACCGATGGCGTTGTGTGGGAAATTCATTGGTGTGAAAAAGGGTATTGAAATTCATCTTTTACATCGGATATCATAAAAACAATGGACATCTCGCGGGTGTGGGCAATTCAACGGAGACTCGTCCAGCCTCGACTCTCCGCTGAGGCAGTGACTGTAAAAGCAGCCCCCTCGTCAGACCTGCTGCCCCTCGTCCGGTCCGACTCCTGGAGGCCCCTGGGTGCAGGCACAACTGCTCCGCAGGGTTTCTTAGCTGTCATTTCTACGGGAGTGGGTGGCCAGGCCTGTCTTCCACAGTGCCCCTGGGTTTAAACTGCCAACCTTCTGGTTAGCAGCCAAGCGTAAACCTAGGGACACCAGTTGGTCTGTAACCCAAACCAAGCCAAGCCTGTTACCAGCAGGTCGATTCCGACTCCCAGGAGCCTCTAGGACAGAGGAGGGCTGCCACGCAGAGTGTCAGAGACTGTCCATCTCCCAGACGCTCTGCAGATGAGCTGACAGGCTCATCTCCAGAGGACCAGGTGCTGGGTTTGAACCGCGAATCTTGTCGTTCGCAGCCCCATGCTTAGCCCAGTGACCCTCCACAGTGCCTTACGGCCACCCCGTCTTGCTGCTGAAATCGCGATTATCCTCAACCCACGACCCCTTCCCTCACAGAGGCCGAAACCATGGCCAAGCTCCGTGGAAAATCCAGTCAGAAAAAAGGCAAACAATTCTAAGCGCTACTTTCAACTTTGGGGAGCGCGAGGCCGCCTGTCCCCCGAGCTTAATTCAAAGCCGAGGCGGAGCATTGAGAACATGCTCTGGGGACGGGCACTACCCCTCTCGGTCACTTGTCAGTCACGCCAGGCCGTCCCCCTTGGAGTCTTCACCTCCGCTGGACTTCACAGGGGCCGTCCCGCCCGGGCATGGTGGGTCTCTCTCCTCCAGCTCCGGCTCCTGCTTCACCGCTACCTCTGGGTGGGGGTGGGGAGATGGGACAGGGTGAGCACACTCCCAGGTGTCACCTCTTGGTGAGGAGACTGGGTTTGCACCCTCCCAGGCATGTGTGTGTGGGGGTGGTGGGTGGGTGGGGGAAGCTGGTTTAGCACACGCCCAGGAGCTGCTTGCTGGGGGGAACTGAGTTAGGACACTCACGGGGTGAGCACACTCACAGCGGCTGTCTCTGTGGGAGGGGTCGGTACTGGTTAGCACACTGATGAAGTCCCTCCCTGAGACAGACCCAGATAACCAAGCCTGACCCATGCGGGGGCGCCCCCCCCTCCGGGCGACAGGGCAGAGCTGCTGCCCAGAGCTTCTTGGTGGCCATCTTTCTGGGCTAGCCTGCTCCCAGCAGGCCAAGAAACGGGCACCGCACAGAAACCAAGCCCAAACCCAAACCCAAACCAAGCTCACAGGACGGAGGAGCGGCTCCCTGGGGCCCCGAGGCTGCGCATCTTCACAGCCAGGCCGACAGCCAGGCCTTTCCTCCCCCAGAGACTCCAGGGCGCTGATGCCTGACCCACAGGTTAGTAGACAGGCTCTCCCAGGGCCGGGCCACGAGCAGCAAGCACTGGGCAGCCACCTTCCTGCCCTCGACAGGTGAGGGCGCCTGTTCGGACAGGAGCCCCGTGACAAGGCGGTTAAGCAGTGGGCCGCTGGGCAGGAGGCAAGTCCTGGAAATCGCTGGCCATGGGTTGGGGGGGGCAGGGGGTCAGGCCGCAGACAGCCGCTCCCTGTTGGCCTGTGTGGCTGGTTCTCTCACCAGCAGTTCCTGAAGCTCAGGGTGGGGCTGGCCTAGGCAGTGAGGATGACACTGGCCACTCCGGATGCCCCTCAAGCTGCCAGCCTGACCAAAGGGAGGCGGGTCCCGGAGAGCGGGCTGGGGCACGCCCCTCTCCTAGGTACCCCCTGGGCGGCGCACACGGGTTGGGCTCAAATGCTAACCCCCAGGTCTGCAGCAGAAGGGCCTGGAGAGGGGCTTCCAGGCAGCCTCTATGGGGCAGCTGCGTTCTTGTCGCCCGCGGGGGCTGAGCAGGTCAGGTGGGCTCTCTGTGTCTGCCTTGGGTGTGACCATTCATCCGAGGATACCTATGAGCCACTCTGGTGGAAAGTGACGCCTGCTCCCTGCAGTGAGTCAAGCCCACCCGCTGCTCCCCAGGAGGGAGATGAGGCTGTCTGCTGACCCCTAGCAGTCCCCAGCCTCGGAAATCCTCCCTTCCCATGGCCGGTCCGAGCCAACAATGCCTGTGCGCTGGCCCCTCTCCACCAGCTGATCGGAGAGTTTGCAGAGCGGAGGCAGTGTGTGTGTGTGTGTGTGTGTTGTCCTGGGGACCCAGAAGCCCAGCCCAGTCCCGCTGCTGCCCTGAGAGCTGGGTCACTCACTGTCCCCACCTCAGTCCCCTCACCAGGATGGACGGGCTGCATGGACCCTGCCCACCGAGAGAGGGAGGGAGAGGCCGGGCTGCCTGCGGAGCCTGGAGCCTCTCAGTGAGGACCCAGGGACACCGATGCCAAAGGGAGAGAAGCACAGTCCCCAGGGATCCACAGGCTGGGAGAGAGCAAGGCAGAGAGGCAGAGAGAGAGAGAGAGGTACCATCTTGCTTTCCTGCCGCTTTCTGGCCGGCTGGCTTCCTCTTTTTCTCTCTTCTTCCTTCTCCGGACGAGGAGGCCGGCTTATCCTTCCCCGACTCGCACTGCTCCGAGTGTCTGCGTGTGTCATTCTGCCAGGACAACACACGGAGAGAGGTGTCACCCCAAGGGAGCGCCCAGGACGAGCCCGGGAAGCACACAGCTCACCCACCCTGAGAGCCCACAGACCAGCGTGCCCCTCAGGCTCTGTAGAACACACCACGGTACTTTCTAGAACATCTGCTCATCGCACCAAGAAAGCCCAGAACCATTCTCAGAGCCCTTGGAGGTGCCAACAGTTAAACTGCTGCTCACCACCCACGGGCTGGAGGTTCATACCCACTCAGAGGTGCCTCGGAAGAAAGGCCTGGTGACTCCCTTTCAAAAGACCCGCCACCTGCAAGCCCTGTGAGTGCACAGTCTGTTCTCGGCCCATGTGGGGGCTCCATGTGGTGGCTAAGACACTGGACTGAGGAGCCCCGGGGGGCGCAGGAGTCAATGGCTGGTGGTTCAAACCCAGTGGGTGACTCCCTGGGGCAAGGTCTGGGCACCTGCTCCCGTCAGGAGGAGAGTTGAGAACCCGACCAAGGGCAGGTCTGCTATGGGGCGTTCAGGGGCTTGGCCTGAGTTAGAATTGACCCGATGGCAACCAGCAACTCCCCACCAGTCCCCACCCAACCCTGGCCCTTGGTTAGCACGGGTCTGCTTTGTCCCCTTGGTCAGTTCGCGGAGGCCTTTGTGTCTGGCCGACTTCACGTCTCCCGGGTCCACGTGGTGGCTGGGGTCATGCCCTTTGATGGCTGAGCCAGGGCCCTCATCACTCCTGACACCTCGCTGCACATAGCCAGTCAGGGCATGTGACTTGTCCCGTGTTGCGGCCGTGGTGAGCAAGGCCGCCGCGGTCATTCATGCCCACGTTTCTCTGGGGACCCACGTGCTGAGCAGGGCGTTGGGTCACACGGCAGCTCTACACTCTGCCTTCTGGGGAAGGACCAGGAGTGGTTGCCCATGGCCTGCACCCGTGGCTGTGCCACCAGCAGCGTGTGATGGTTCCAACTGGCCCACATCCTTGCCAACACTTGCCAGGGTGTGTTTTTGATCAGAGCCACCCAGTGGCTAATGACGAATGATCCTGAGCATCGTTCCCCGTGTTTATCGCTCATTTGTACATCTTTGGAGTAATGTCAATTCAAGTCTTGTTGCCCATTAAGAAAAAAAAGTTTAAGAAATATTTCATTGTACTTAGGAGAACAATTATAAATCCTAACTCTTCAATCAACAAATCACACATAATTTGTTTCAGATGCACGCCACACACACACACACACACACACACGCACGCACGCACGCACGCACGCACGCACGCACGTAGTAGCCTGGGTCCCTTTACTCCTCTGGTTTCACGGTCCTTCTCTGTCTGCTCCTCCCAGCGTGGGGCAAACGCTGCCCTTCGGATCTTGGTAGAGTGGACCGTAGAAGCCGGTAGCACAGGGACTTCCATGTCAGGCTGCACCTGCAGGGTCAGTGGCTCCTGACTACTAGGCGCCCCATAGGACAAAGACGAGGCTGTCTGCTCCCTAATGAGCTTTAGTCTCGGAGCCCCACAGGGGCAGTTCTACCCTGTCCTGTAGGGCCCTGTGAGTTGTAACTGACTTGATGGCTGCTGAGGTGTTTCCCCTGGTTTGTGTTTTTAATAGTCGTTTGTTCTACAATCCCCTCTATTATTTGTCTGAAAGGTGGCCTCTGAGTGTCTTCAGTCTCAGGGCCAGACTCGGGACCCTCTAGTTTCTTTCAGACTAGCTCTAGAGTCAGATCTTGTTGTTGTTCTACATGCATAAATAAATAAGCTCTAACCAGGACTTTCTCTTCTGGTTTTGGTCAGAGTGGCCTGTAGTGGGAGCCGGCCGGGCACCATCTAGTTCTCTGGTCTCAGGGTAGAGGAGGCTGTGGTCCATGTGGGACACTGGTCTGGGCTGATTGTATTCTTGGGCTTTCTTCATTCTCCATGGTTGCCCGTTAGGTGTCTGCTCACACACTTTTGAGATCCTCGTACTACTCAGTGTTGGAGGAAGGCTTGTTAACAGCCTGTGATGTGCACATGACACAACCTTGCCTGCATGGCCTTGGTTGCAGGTCGAACATCAAAAGGGAACTGCCAGAAATCGGAGCTGGATTCAGAAGAGAATGGGAGTGATGTCAGAGGCATCTTGGCTCAAAGCAGAGAAAGGTGTTTACTTGTGTCTCATTGACTCTGCAAGGCATTGGAGTACACGGACCTAACAAACCAGGGAGGCGAGTCCCAGCGCGCAGCTTGGTGCCCGTGTGGGAACTGGACCTGCATCAAGAGCAGCTGTGGGACTAGAACCAGGGGACGCTGCATGGGTTAAATCAGGAAAGGTGTACCCTGTCACTTATCCTTGTTCAGACTCCGTGCGGAGAAGCCGGCTTATAGGAAGAAGAATGCCGCGTCAGGAGTTATTAACAACCACGCGAAGCCCTTGCTGATGAGATCAGGGACTGCAATATCTGGGATGGAGCACACCTCAGTGTAAAGAAGACAAACGTCCTCAGCACAATGACGGATATGAGGAATCCAAGAAAGATCTCAGGGTGCAGGAAGCTGAGTAGAAGTCCAACCCAAGAGCATGAGACCCCTGTTATCAAAACCAAGCGTGGGTTTCCACACGGAGCAGCACAGTATTCCGCCGCCTGCACCCACCCCTGTGGACCCAGCCATCTGTTGATAAGCAGTTAAGTTACTTCATCTGTTTGTTTCTGTGAACCGCGCCGCAACGTGCACACGTATGTCTATGTCGCAGCTCCCAGTTCTCTCGGATCCATGCCCAGCAGGGGGACAGCTCTCGCGTAGGGCAGTTCGATGTTGAGATTTTGAAGGAGGCGCACACTGTTTTCCACAGCGGGAGCACCGTTTCCTCACGTCGGACTGAGCCCCTGGTCCGGAGACTGATCTGCCCAGCTGTGGTAGTTCTAAGAGGCCCACAGCTTCTCTGTACTCTTCCCTTCCCTGTCTGCCCCAGTGGGGACTAGACTTAGGGATTCGTTTCTAATACAAAGATGAACCGTGTGTCGCTTTCAAGACTGGGTCCCGGAGGGTCCGATGGCTTCCTCCTTACGCCCTCTCAGATCACCGCTCCAGGGGACGTTGGCACCCTACTGGGTGGACCCTTGAGCCCATGAAGTGGCCCCCACGACAAGGGATGGAGGCCTTGGGTGGGAGCCGCCATCTCGGAAGTGGCTCCTCCAGCCCCAGTCAAGCCTTCAGGTGACTGCAGCCCCTCAGTCACTAAGACAGCACTTAAAAAAGCGAAATTAGAGTCGACCTATTTCTTAGCACAGCACTCAAAGCAGTATGTTAGGAACCTCTGGGAACGGTTGTCTCAGTCTGCTTCATCAGCACACGTGAAGGCTGCCCTGGGGGCAGAGGTTCTCTGTGCGGGGCTTGGGGAGGTCTGAGAACGCACAGAAGAACTCTCCAGACTCCACGGGTGGGGCTGTGCTGCCTCGGCGAGGGGAGACCGCCCGTCCACAACCTTCTTCGAGAGTCTTGCGGTCTCACCTCAAAGCAAAGAAGCCCTCCCCGAACTGTGGCCGTGGCTTCTGGATGTCCTGCCAAGGTTCCGAAGGAGGGTCTGGGTCGCCGGGCGTGACCCTGAGCTGAGACGGAGGGTCTCTCTAGAAAGGCTCGGATGACTCCAGTCGGCTCAGGCAACTGGCCGCCACTGTGGGTCGAGCCTTGACTGGTGGAGACGCCACGCACCACAGGACCAGATCGCCAGGATCCGTGAGATTCTCACCAGCGGCCGGTTTTCAGAAGTGGATCGCCAGGCTGCTCTCCCCACCCCAGCTCAGTCGCGAAGCTCTGCTGTGAGGCCGCCAGCATCACCGGCGCACAGACCGGCAGGGGCGGGGTCTGAGGGGCGCTGCTGGGAGCTGAACCCGCTAGAACGCTGCCACTGCCCCTGGGAAGGCACCAGCCATGGGGAACAGCCTTTGCCACCCTGGGGCGTGTGTACAGTCGGGATGAACTTGGAATCACGGTGTTTCTTGAGATGCGTGTTTAGCAGTTCCTTTAGCCAGCTGTGTGTACGGCAGGAAAGGAGGGCAGATGGGTTCTCGCCAGTGTGGATACACAGAGGACTGTCAGGCGACGTGGCAGAGGTGGGGGCTGGGAGAACACAGTTTATCTATTTAAAGGATTTTCTAGTACCAGACATTACCAATTGTGTAACACATTTCCCCCTTCCTTTCCCTTTCCCAGGCGAGTATGCTCAGCCAAGTTTTCCAAAGACTTTCCTATTTCCTCGACAAACCAAAAAACAAACATCAGACTCACTGCTGGGTCAATACCAACTCCTAAGGACCCTGCAGGACTGGGCAGAACTGCCCCTATGGGTTTCTGAGACCGGTACCCTTTATGGGGGTAGAAAGCTTCCTCTTTCCCCGGCAGAGCACCTGACGTTACTCCACATTCTCTTCTGAACCCAGCTCACATTTCTGGTAGTTCCCTGTTGATGTACGACCTGCAACCAAGGTTTTGAACTGACCTTGTGGTTCTCAGCACAACGCCAATGCCACACCATGCTACACCCAGAGCGCCTGGTCCGTCCCAGGCCACACGTGGGATCACGGGGAGCCTGGTTCTCCTTCTTTGTCACCAGGGACTGAACATGCACCACGACACAGGATGCTTCCCTGGCAGCCCCCTGGACCCCAGACTTTTCCAGAGGGAGCCCTGGTGGCCCTGCGGGCTAGGCACCAAGCAGCTCGTGGAGAGGCCGGCAGTTGTCTGCTTCTGCAACTGTCAGCGTCCCCAGAAACCCTGTCTCGGGTCGCTGTGAGTTGGATCCACTCGGTGGCAGTGGGTTTATGGACCTAAAACAAACCCCGAGGACCCCACAGGGCTTTTGTTTATGTGGGGACATCTGCTAATCCATCTATTTTAAAATCATGACAAACCAACTACAAGCTAACATGAAGAGCATATTTCTGTTTCCAAAAAAATTGATTTTCGAAACAAAGCAGTTGAGTGAGAAGCAGCGTTTGAGATCTTGGCACAGCCCAGCTGAAAAGATAAGGCTGCTAGTGAGAGCTTGGCTTGTGGCACGTGGGCTGAAGTTACTTATACTGGGGCACTGTTGGCTGCTGATCTGAAAGTCGGGTTTAATCGGTGGCCTGCTTCTTCCTTTGCTCCGGCTGGTGGGGGCGGCTGGTGGCTGACTCAAGGCCAACCCAAGTGTGCAGTCGAGGCTCTGAAGGGCTCCCAAGGCGGATCACCAAGTCTTCCTGCCGCAGGGCTACTGGGTGGGTTGAGGCCCGTCGGAGGGCTCACCCAGAGAATCCTGCTCAACCCTGGTTGTTTTGTTTTTGGTTTTTGTTCTGTCTAGCTGATTCGGACACGACACCAGGATAGACCCCGGGGACCTTGGTGGGGGGGGGCTTGGGGCCCCACCCAGACCTGCTCCTCAGAGCCGTGGCTCATAGCTTGTGCTCCAGCTTCTCAGAGGGGGCTGCTGTGATATGCCCATCCAGCCCAACCCACTGACAGCTGACCCCAAATTGTGAGACTCCATGTGTGCAGAGGAGACAGCGCCCCCCACCCCAACGGCTTTCGATGGCTCATGTTTCTGGAAACAGATCCCCCAGCCCCTCTGGCCCCTTGCACCGTGCAGCCCGGCGTGTTGATGATCTGTCCCAGGCAGGAGCCGTTAAACAAAGATTCTCACAGCGACGGAGAACCCCCCCACTTCATCCCCACCCCATCACGTCCTGCTGCACCCCCAAGTCGCCGGAGCCCAGTACCTGCTTGCGGGTGTAACTGCGACGTCTGAACCTCTTCTCCTTCCTGTGGGTCTCCTGGTGCTGGAGGAAGGCGTAGCGTTCGTGGAAGACAGCAGGGCAGAGGCGGCACAGCATCGCTGTCGCTTTGTACGTGTGCAGGTTGAGCAGGTGCACACCTGTGGGGGCCGCAGAGTACCTCGCACTTAAGAAGGCAGAATTCTGCTTAGGCGCAGCCCCCCCACAACCTTGACACTACTGATGTCTGGGGCCCGGTCCTTCTCTGTGGTGGGGAGCCCCTCTGGGCACTGTAAGACGCTAGGCTGCACCTCTGGGATATGCCCACTAGATGGCAGCAGCCTCTCTGAGTTGGGATACCCTGACCTGGTGCCAACATTACCAAGTGCCCACCAGGGGGCAAGCTGGTTTCAGGCTGAACCAATAAAGAAAAATCATTTCCATACCCCTTTGGCTATGGAGTCAAATTTTCCCATACAGCAGGCCACGGTAGACCGAAGACGCTTCCACACAAAGTGCGTGGCGAGCCTTACCGTCCTGCTGACGGAGCTTTAGAGTAAGCTTACAGTGGTTTTACGTGGCCGAGACAGCTTCTGTATTCTGAGCGAAGAGCGAGTGGCCAAAAGGAAACAAGTGTCCAAGATTCCCTAGCACCAGAAGGCGATGTCCAGCCTGGGACACATGAAGTGGTGAGAGGAGCAGGCCTGAGTATCGTGCCTGGGGTCAGCTCCATCTACCAAGTACCCGGGAGAGGTGGACACACACACACACACACACACACACACACACACACACACACACATGCTCAGCCACCAGAGACCTTGCCTCCTGTCCTCTAGACACGAAGGAACACGCCGCAGGGCCAACAAAGGGGACTACAGAGCGCCCATGTGGCTTTGCCACGTGTCCCAAATGCCTGGCCCTGCACCCCGCAGAGTCCCGGTGCAAGGCTGGTAGGACAGGTGATGCCGACACGGGGCAGGGTGACAGAGAAGTGCCCTGATCATCCTGATGTTCCCAAACCCTGAACCTTACACCCGGGGTTTTCTGGGCAAACTGGGGAGTTTGAGAATTTGCCGGCATCCAGCACACCTCCTGGGAAGTGAAGGAAAGCCGTGGCAGACGAGGCCCCGACTCCTCTCCTCACAGGTGGGAAGGAAGCCTGACCCCGGGGCGAAGTCGTGGCCAAGTGGCTCTCGGTGACAGTGCCGTCTTTCCCATCATGGAGGGCCCACCGAGTCAGGGGAAGCTTTTCACATCACCCGGGTGCCCCTTGCCCCGGGTAGAACCCCTGAAAGGAGATCTATGTCTTCCTTCTTCCTTCGACTTGATAGACATTGCTGGAGGGCAGTTATGGGCACAGAAGGATGGCTAAACCGACCCGGGCATTACGGGATGGTTCGCAGCATGCCTGCTCCCTAGATGCCAGCAGCAGCCGCCCTCCACGTTGTGACGACGTAAATGCCCCCAGATTTTGTTGGAGCCACTCTTTGGAGCACACAGGGAGTGTCTAGAAAAAGTGCCCACCGAGGGCTGGGAGGAGAGAGTGTCAGAACTTTCAACCTGGCTGCCTCGGGCCCACCCTGGTCATGTGCCTTGGGCAGTTTACTCAAGTGGCCCTGAACCGTTTCCTAACCTACAAAACCAGGCCCTGAAGATACAACTATTCTCTCCTCACCCAGAGTGGAAGAGAAGGAAGCAAACCAGATTCAGAGAAGAAACTAGCCTACAGGACAGCTGCTAGGAACCACGGCCTCGTCTATCCCGAACCCAGAACTAGATGGTGCCTGGCTCCCACCACCAATTGTTCTGACCAGGGCTAGAGTGCACAATCCTACTAGAATGGAGAAAAATGTGGAACCAAACTTCAAATTCCTACAAAATAATCCGACCAGCAAAAACCAGATCTCTCAGAGCAGTGGAAGCCTCCCCAAGACTGTTGCCTGGTGTGCTCTTCAAGCCTGGGTGTGAAACCAGCCCCCGAGGTCACCCCGAGGCTAGTAACAGATGGGCGGAAGGGGAAAAGGCTATCCCCTAGAAACACTGCACTCGGAGGACACAAACACCTACGGGAGACCAAATGATCGATTGCTTTACAAAGAATCTGAACAGTCAGAGGGCAGAGACACTAAGTCAGGGAAACGGAACAACCAGCGTGGAAAGCCTGAGCATGTTTGCACAGTATGAAGACTGTCGGGAGGCCTGGTGGTGCAGTGAAGTTACAAGTGGAGCTGCTCACCACAAGGTCAGCAGTTCGAAACCACCAGACGCTCCACATGAGAAAGATGAGGCTGTCTACTCCCGTAGAGAATTACAATCTTGGAAACTCACAGGGGCACCTCTACCCTGTCCTAGAGGTCCCTGAGAGTCGGCATGGACCCCATGGCAGCATTTGGATTTCTGGTTGGAATGTCCAGTGACACTGAACAACTGGTGGAGAAACGGTTGATGGGGAGCCTGGACTTCAGTGTCAACCGTTACTGAAAGCACAATAAAAGCACAATACGCCCCGTGTGATAAAGTAATATCCACAGAAAGGCCTCCTACGCTCAAAGGTCCACGGGAACTTATGGCTGGACACTGGCGCAGCACTGCCACCAGATGGTGCCAGAGGACCACGAGAAGAAAACCTCCCTGGTCCCGAAGCCCAGCTGCTGCCCAGGAAGCAAGGCCAGCGCCACCTGGTGGAGCCAAAGGAAGGCTCCGGGCGTGAACAGCCAAGTAAGGCCAAGTACCACCAAGAGAGTCGGCTGGAGAGCACTTGACTTGCAGTGCCTGGGTGGTCCCAACGGAAAGGGTGGAGCTTCGAGTCCAACCAGGGGCATCTTGGAAGAAAGGCCTGGCAGTCACCGTGGGTTGGAGATGACTCCGTGGCACCGGGCGTGTCCCTGGGTGGTACTAACGTGCCCGACATTGAACGCTGGAGGTGGGAAGTGTAGCCGCCTCATCCCTGGAAGCCCGCCGCTGAGACCCCATGGAGCCCAGGGGCACTCTGACACGCAGGGGACACCTGGCGCCAGCACAGGCTCGACGGCAACGAGCAGGCCACTCACGCAGGTCACTTTTCCTGGCGATGACGGCCGTGCAGTGGGGACAGTGGTGCTTGGGGACGTCCTTGCTGTGCCTCTGCTGGAGGTGGGTCTTCATGGTGCCACTCTGCGTGAAGCACACGTGGCAGATGGGGCACTCGTAGGGCTTCTCACCTGCAACACACAACATACGTGACCTCGGACAGGGCCGGGAGCTGGAGCAGCTGGTCCTTCATGGCCAGGGCACCTCCAGCCCTGTCCTGCTGCGTCTGAAGCCCACTTGGTAGAAGGCTCCAGGCCACAGGCGCCTCCGCAGTGCCCCCTACTTCCCCACCGTGTGTGACCTTACACCGTTTCCCAAAGGGGCAGCACCACTCCTGGAGGGCGCTGGACCAACCCAGGGGGGCTGTGAAGGCAGAGACCCACACTTGATTCTGGGTTTCTGGCTATAGTACTAATGTTTTTCATTATTGGGGGAAGGGGGGCTGCCAGCCAAATCTGTATGGGAACCTCTGTCCTGGAGGCTACAGGTCCCTTCAGGAGAAGGCTCTGGCTTGCATCGCAAGGATGCAGGCCCACAGCCATCGCGTTGACCCCACAGAGCAGGGTAGAACTGCCCCACAGGGCCCCCGTCTGTACCAGAAGCAGACAGGCGCATCCTTCTTCCAAGGAGCAGCCGGTGGGTTTGAACCAGTGACCTTCTGTTGCATTGTGGAGTGCTTAACGGCTGTGCCACAAAACTCCCTGTACAAACTTCTCAGCTCCCTGCCGTCGAGTCGATTCCGACTGACAGCGGTTCTGCAGGACAGAAAAGAACTGCCCTGTGGGTGCCCGAGGGTACATGTTGACAGACGCAGAGAGCCTCGTCTTTCTCCCTCAGAGCGGCTGGTGTGTTCGAACCGCCAACGCTGTGGCTAGCAGCCCTATGCACAACCCGCTACAGCCCCTGGACTCCTTTGCACAAGGGCCTGGGCCCCACAGAACCAGGTGAGCAACCCCGTGCTTCCCCAGGCCCCCTGGGCTGCTCCGCCGACCCACTGACCGGAGTGCGTCCTCATGTGGCGCTTCAGCTTGTGGGTGTCCCTGCTGGCATAGCTGCACTGTGAGCACTGGAAAGGGCGCTCCCCGGTGTGGGAGCGCATGTGGCGCTTCAGCTTGCTGGCCTGGGGAAGAGAGAAAGGCCTTAGGCGCCGGGCTGTCAGAGACCCAGCGCCACAAACACCGCTCGGAAGGGCTGACCACGATGCCTCTGATCAGAACCCACACCACAAGCCCTTTCTTCCCATCTTCTGTCCGAGTGGTGAGCTAAGAGTCCCACGGGTTTACGCTCCTTTGGGGCCTAGTGAGCAGCCGCTTCGAGAGGGGCCCTCCTCAGCCTCATTTCACAGAGGGAAACCGCAGTCCGTCCAGCGGCTCACGTCCTGGGTGGGTTTATTCTCAGTTCTAAGGCATCAGACAAGGAGCCCCAGTGGCACAGTGGTTATGCGTTGGGCTACTGACAACAAAGCCGGCAGTTCAAAACCACCAACGGCTCCGAGGGAGAGAGATGAGGCTGTCTGTTCTCGCAAAGATTTAGTCTTGGAAACCCGTAGGGGCAGGTCTACCCTGCCCTGTAGGATCACTACAAGTCAGTATTGACTCAGTAGAGGTGTTTGGGGTTTTTTTTGGAAGGCAGCAAACATCCAGTAGCTGTTTAAGTAGCCACCCCGGCACAGAGGGAGGCGCAGAGGCCAGCACATTTGCTTTTGCATAAGTAACGTGAGGGCATTCAGCTCCTTGCTCTTGAATGGATTCACCGAGCCGGGCCTTTCCTTACGCTGAGTTTGAACTGCCAACCTTGGGGTTAGCAGTGAAGTGGTCCACCTTTGCACAGCCAGGCTCCTTCACACCCACGGCCTTGGAGCTGATTTTGACTCAGGGAAGCCCCACAGGGCTCAGGAGGACTGATCCCGGGGTTTCCAAGGCTGTAGATCTTTCTGGGAGCTGAACGCCTCATCTTTCTGGCGAGGAGCAGCTGGTGGGTTTGAACCAGGTCTCTGAACTGTTCGCTTTAGGCTGGTTCTTGCTGGTTCGGTCATGGCCGAGGAGAGGAAATCTTGACAGATCTGAATTTAAAACTTTTTAATTGAAAACGATCATGGGAAGAGGAAATGGGAGGGGTCACAGCCCTGCAGCCCTGCTAGGAATGCGATCTCCGCCAGAGAGAAGGAGGGCAGAGGCGTGGTGCCACCAACTCTGGGCTCTGGGGCTGAAGCCGAGTCAGACACCACGGTGCCAGCTCAAAGACGGCCGCCGAGCCAGTCGCTCTCTGTGGGCAGCCAGTGCCCCAGTCTCCACACCAGGCTCCTGGGAGGGCTCCCCAGGCCTCCTCTTGCACCATCTCTCGCCCCAGGCCTTCAGCTCACTGCCATTTGCCCCGTGCTGGCTAGCACTCCGTGTCTCCCAGACTTGAGAGTCCAGGTCAGCTCCGCTCCCCCATCTCCAGCTCAAAGCCCTGGTTTGAGCCTCCGACCTCTCTGTTACCAGTGGGACATGCCAGCACTGTGCCGCCGGGCTCCTCGGTGGGGGGACGCCACGTGAAGCAGTCACTGTGTCGGGTCCACTGTCCCTACCCTGATCGGCTTCCCTGCCGTCACACATGGGTTGGAGAGCCACTGGCACTGAGGGCTGTCTCAGTCAGGTGCTGGGAGTCCAGGCTGGTTCACGTCGGCCCCACAGGTGTCACCTGCCCCACAGGATTTTCAGTGGCAGACACCTTGGAAGCAGGTGGCAGCTGGACTGGGAAGGCTGTGCTCTGTGCTGGCGGGATCCCAGCCTGGAGGCCATCCGAGGCTTCGGATTCGAAGGCAGCTTTGTGTTTTGAACCCCTCTTTTTCCGTTCTCCTGACCCAGGCACAACCTTTAACTCAGAGGAGAAATACGTTTGTTTTAAAAAAGCAACAGCCGAAAATGTTTTTTCTTGAAACGTGATTCTGACTCTGTGGGTGAAATTCTCCCATTTATGAAACTGGGTTGCATCATATCTACTTTTAAACTCGAGCCGTCCTCTTTAACTCTGTCCCACTGCAGGGCAGTAGCCATCCCTTTCCAACTGGGCTTCTTGCGACCCGGCGGTGCCCGCGGGGAAGAGCACGTTGGGGGCTCGGCCGACATTCCTGCTCCTTCCTTCTCCTCTGCTGCCAAAGCAATTCTGACTCACGGTGTGACCCCATGGGGCAGCTTGGAATTGCCCTCAAAGGACTTCCCAGGCTGTAGTTCGAATCTCCAGGCGTCTTCTCAGGAGAAAGCTGAGGCCCCTGTTCCCGTTACAATGTCCAGCTGTGGAACCCCACGGGCCAGGCTTCCCCTGTTCTGTCGAGTCAAACTCGGCTCGAAGGCTGTGAGTTCCGTTTACTGAGTTTCTTTCTTTCTTGTTCTTTACAGGAACAGACCACCACCACGCCGCCTCTGTGGAGCAGCTGGGGCATTCGAACCTCTGCCTTTCCAGTCAGTAGCCCAATCCATAACCCCTGTGCCACCAGGGCTCCTTGCTAACCCCAATGCCATCCAGTCAATGAAGCCGTCAGTGAAGTGACCCGGCCCGTGACAGGGCAGTCTCTTTGGCTCAGAGGCTGTGCTTGGGATGTCCAGCGAGATGCTTGGCATCTGAGCACGTGAACTGAGGTGGCGGGTGGCTGGGAAGGGGACTGGGTCAGCGCATCTAGTTCGAGGTGAAATTCAAACCAAGCTCACTGACGCGGGCCTCCCCACCAGGGTGGAGCCCAAGCCATTTGTACAGCACTGCCCAGCCCTGTGTGCAGCGCCTTCGCCGACTGCCCCTCAAGGAACAAGGGAAATCCGAGTGAGTCCCCATTGGGAACGTAGGAAATAGACTGCGTCTCACTCCCTGCCCTGGTTCTGTGTAAATAACGTCTTTCGTGGAAAACTATCGTATCACAGGCTCTGGGATTTACGAGTTCGAGTTCGTAGAACCTGGTGTCACGGCAGATTAAGTGCTGGGCAGCTAACTGAGAGGTTACAACCTCGGGACCTGTGTTCAACTCGCTGCCATTGAGTCTGCGACGCCGACCTGTAGCTGTCCCTGTTTATGGGAGTAGTAAGCCCGTCTTTCTCCCTGGGAGCGGCTGGTCGTTTGCAACGTCTGACCTTGTTGAACAGACTCACCTGTATCCACCAGGGCTCCTTTGGAAGCCCACAGGTGCGGCGCTACCCTGTCTCCAGGTCAAGATGAATCGGAAGTGACACTCGGCGGGGGTTGTGTGACTGGCTCGCCCGCGCCTGCCCACTGAGGCGGCGGGACAGGCTGGGGACGGGGAGGACTTACTTCCACGCTGGCATACTTGCACGTGGGACACTTGAAGGGCTTCTCGTGAGTATGTTTGTAGCGCCTGTGTCGCACGAGTTCTCCGCTGGTGACAAATGCCATGTCACAGTCCTCACACTTAAAAGGTCTGGTTCCTAGAAAGACCAGAGCAAGCAACGTAAAACACAGCGCAGTTTACTCTGTTAACACACGAGGAAGCCCACCATCCCTCCAACAAAGCAGACTCACTGCCCCTGGCTCCAGTCCAACTCACTGTAACCCTACAGGACAGGGCAGAGCTGCTTTTGTGAGTTTCCGAGACTGTAATCCTTCACGGGAGTAGAAAGCCTCTGCTTCCTCCCACGGAGCAGCTGGTGGTTTCCAACCGCCGACTTTGAGCTTAGCAACCCTCTGTGCAACCACGACGCCACAGGGGTCGTCCCACTATTTCCTGGGATCTTATCAGTGACACTCAGCCTGCCGAATCCACTGATGGCGTGCCTGCGCTGACCCACAGTGGCCTGCCGGGACAGAGTAGGACTGCCCCATGGCTGTCACCTTACAGGAACAGATGCCTCGTGTTCCTCCAGCCAGGCGGCTGGGTGGGGTTGAACCGCTGACCTTTCCATTAGCAGCCGAGTGCTTAACCACGGTTCCACTGGGGCTCTTCTTCATAAAGCCTCAAAATGCTTTAAAAATCAAGAAGAGGCTCGTTCAACGATGAGCATCAGGGACTGTGCAGCCCAGTGGCTGGTTATTTATCTAGGAAGTGGATGGCCAGGCCTTTTTCCTCGACGTGCTGCGGATCGTCACCGCCCACCCTGCACGAAGGCCGTCATGGTACTCAAGCCTCTGCAGGCCGGCTAAGGCGGAGACACACCGAAAGCTGCGTGCGCAATCGAGTCCGGTCCTGTAGGAGGAAGGGGGTCTGGGTTCCCCCGGGGTCCTTGGAAGGAGACCCACCCACAGGCCCGGCTTGTCACCTGTGTGGGTGTTGACGTGGTTTCGCAGCAGCGTGACAGTGCGGAAGGCTTTCACGCAGATGTGGCACCCATAGGGCTTCTCGCTGGTGTGAATTTTCATGTGACGCTTAAAGCTGGAGACTCGAGAGGAGGCGAAGGTGCAGGTGTCACAGCGGAAGGTTTGCTTAGCTCCTGCAAGGGTGGGGTGGGGGGGCACACACCGTGAGGATGAGTGAAAACAAGCAAGCAAGCAAACTCGTTTTGGGGGGAATTTGTTCAGATTCAATTCCGACCTCCTGAGAATCTCGCTGGTCTAATGTGGGAGCTCAGCGTGGCAGGAAGGTAAACGCCAGTGGCCATTGAGCTGATTCTGACCCAGTGGCCATTGAGCTGATTCTGACCCACAGGGCCTCTTCAGAACAGAGTGGCACGGCCCCGCAGGGTTTCCCAGTTGGCATCTCTCCCTTGGGGATGGCTGATGGGTTTGCACTGCCACTGGGTCCATGGCTGAGTGCTTCAGGGCTAGTCAACAATGTCCTATTTACAAGTGGACTAAACTCTTCAAAAGAAAGTCTTCCCGAGGGGTGATACGGATTGAGTTGTGACTCCCCCAACATAGACGTTGCAAATCCTGGACCATATAGTGCTTATCGGAGCCCTGGTGTGTCATGGTTAAGAGTTGAGCTCCTAACTGACCTCAAGGTCAGCGGTTCAAAACCACCAGCTGCTGCTCAGGAGAAAGATGGGCTTTCCACTCCTGTAAAGAAGCACAGGCTTGGAAACTGCCCTCCAGGGCTGCGCAGGGTCGGCAGCGACTGATGGCAGTGAGTCTGGCTTTTTGGTTCTCGACCCTTGGACATGTGTGCTAGAGATGAAGAAAGGGCGGAAAATGAGTGAGCCAAGTCAGTGCCCTGCCTAAGAAATCAGACAAGGACCAACAGCTCGGAACTCAATGGAACGGAAAGCAGAGCTCTGTCCAGGAGCCAACGAAGTAGACACCGAGTGCCCTTGCAGAGACTGTGAGAGATGGACATGTGGTTAAGGACTCAGCTACTAGTTGCAAAGTTGCTCATCAGCACCCACCCAGACGCTCCTCGACCGGAAGGCCTGGTGATCTGCTTCCAAAAGGTCACAGCCGAGAGAACGTCACGGATCAGTTCTCCTCTGCCCACCGTGAATCCACTGACCACCTCTGGGCAAGACTGATGGAGAAGGAGGAGACACACACGGACCATCCTGACAGACTGTATTCTTAACCTCATCTGCTCCCCCAAACTCCATTTGTCCAGGCGGGATAGGCAAAAGGCAAGAATTTACAGCACTTGGAAAACAATACCAGATGTCACAATTGCAACACAGGCTTGTAGATTTCCTAGACAAGATTTAAAAAGAAAGCCAAAGCCGAAAGTACTGAAAAATCCCACTACATAAAAAGTGAAAGTTTTAATTTTTTAAAAATCAGAGAACACCATAAAGAGGTAAAGGGGGAAGCCACACCAGGGTAAGAGATTTGCCACCAAAATAGGCTAAGAAAAGAACACACTGATTTTGCGATGAACTTTTACAAAGTGCTAAGAAAAGACCAACAGCCTGATTAAACAAAAACGGGCGAAAGACTTGAACAGGCGGCTCAGAGAAGAGAACACCGGGAGTCAGTTAACAACGGAAAGCTCAACTGCTTGGTGGTTTTCACTGTCTGAAGGGAAACATCTCTTGACCAGCTAGTTCCCCACAAGTCTGTCTTGGAAGGAGTCTGGCCGGAGTGCTCCTTAGAGGCAAGGATGGGGGGACTTGTCTAGAGTACTGGGGAGTCCCTGGAGAAGGGCATCGTGCTTGGTAAGGCAGAGCAGCAGTGAAAGAGACCAAGGTGCTCAACTAGATGGACGGACATAGCGGCTGCAGCGATGGGCTCAAACAGAAGAAGAACAGGAGGATGGTGCGGGACAGGTGCTGTTTCATTCCGCTGTACATCAAAGGGCGCCGTGAGTGGAACCACCTGAACGGAACCACAGCAATCACATCCTCCACTAAGCATCTCAGGAAATCAGGTGAAAAATGTTCCCAACCCCCTCAGAGGCTTCTGGGCAGAGAAACGGGGGGAAGATTCAAACCAAGAAAGTCCTATGGAGCTTTTATACGGTAACCGGAGCCGGCAATGAGTTTGGTTTGGGTTGAAGGACATCAAAGTCCTTCCTAACCTGACTGGACCTACTCTCCCCAAGCACCCCTCCCCGCCCCATCCACGAGGCTCCGGACACAGTCAGTCTCTCCAAAGCCCTCCAGAGATGCACACCCTGCCGTGACCTCGGCTCTTCAAGGCTGCCTTCTTGCCCCTCCTAGAATGGGGACTTCCCTATATTCTTAACCTCATCTGCGGCTCTCTGCTGTCCCCTGCAGGCGGACACTGCCTGGCCCGCCTGAAGCCCTCGGACTCGCTGCCAGCCTCACGCAGGGCTCCCCGAAACCAGGACCCAGCCCTGTGCTTCACAGGGTCTCCAGTGGCTGATTGGGGGCAAGTAGATCGCCGGGGCTTTCTCCTGTGGCACATTCTGGGTGAACTCGAATCTCTAACTTCAGTGAGCAAGGTCACACGTCCACTGCTTGGGCCACCCGAGGGAAAGTGCTGCTCTAAAAATCGTCGGAGCCTTTATGAAACATAAATATCAAACTGTGAGACGGTTGTTTCCTGACACACCCTCCACGGCTGAAGGTGCTGGCTCCCCCCTCTCTCCCCCCAGGAGCTCTGCACTCTTCCATCGGCACCCCGTCAAAGTGGAAGCGATGGCATCCTCGGGGGACCCCATTACGGTCCTCTGAAATACTGCTTGAGTTTGGGGAACAAGAAGAAGTCTGAAGGGGCAAGATCAGGGCTGTAGGTGGATGGAGTACGGTTTCTGAATGAAATTCCCATAGGACAACCCTTGCTACCGTCCAGGAATGAGCATGTTGTGATAAACTAAACATATATTTTTTAAAAATGTCTCACCACTAATTCCCTGGTCTTTTCCCTCAACAATGTAGCTTTCAATTTCCTTAAAACTTCTTCTGCAAAGTCCCTGTGATCATCCTGTGTCCTGTGGGGAAAATTTATCAAGACGACCCCTTTGGAATCCCCCAAATCGTCACTTTCTGAACTGCCCTCTCAGCCTTGGATCGAACTGGCCCAGCAGATCCTCAGAAGCCAGTTTTGACTGGATTTTTTGTGTGTAAGGCCCCCTAAAGAGACTTAAGACAAGTGTATTCCCGAGAGAACTTGTCCACAGCCACCCACTGGTCACAGAAATGTAGGCAAGCACTTCTTATTTGGACAAAATGCACGAAAGTGTTGACCCAGAAGCCTCACAGCGACTTTTTGACGCCTCATACGGTCCTCTCTCCAGTCCTCATTTCTTTCCTCACCCAGATCCGCCCACCCTTCCGTCCCCAGGGAGAGGGGAAACGAGAGAGTGGAAACCAGGGCTTGGTCTTCTATCGCATGTTCTGTGTTTTTCGGAAGCATCCTTATTACGCCTTTCCAAACACCAGTGCGCAAAATGCAAAACCCGCTGGGGCTTGATTCCCCATTCAGAGCAGTAGTTTGAAACGCCTCCCATTTCCCGAGCTACCCCTGTGGAGCTAACACTGAGCTCTGCAGGAGGGAAGACCGGGGGACCTGTTTCTGGAAAGATTACAGCCCAGGAAACCTTATGGGGTTGTTCTCCTCCGACAGTGGGGTCAATCTCACGGGCCCTAACAGCATAAACAACAGTGGAAGTCCATCACTTAAACTGCAATTACCCTCCTTGTCCTGTACCAAACTGTCCCCTGGACCCCAAATTCGCACGTACCCAGAACCTACCGCGGTGACAGCATTTGGAACTTCAGTCTTTTCGTTTAAAATCATGTTAACACGAGGATCGGAGTGGGGACATTAGGAGACACCCACAAAAGGTCATGTGATGATGGGGGCAGAGAGCAGAGGGATGCAGGCACAAAGCAAGGAACGGCAAGGGTTGCTGGCAGCCACCAGACGCTGGGATCCACGACGCGGAAGGATCTTTCCCCAGAGCCTCTTAAGAGAACAGGAGTGGCTCTGTCCACACCTTGAGTTTGAACGTGTGGTCTCTAAACCTTAAGTGAATACAACTCTATGCTTTTAAACCACCCAGAAGCTTACAAAGCTCTCCTTCCCATAAAGAAAAATTGTCGGCCAGTGTTGTGCAAACGTTTACACACGAAGAGAAGGCCTACCTGTGGTCTTCTGCTTTTTTGCTGAGCCGGCTTTTGTAGTCCTTGCGTTCCTGGATGAAGAGCTCTTTCCTGCCTCCTCCACCAGCATGTTGGCGATGGTCAGCATGATCTCTTCTTGTCCTTCCTCCTCGGGCCTCGTCTCCACCACAACGAGCTGCTCTTCGGATTGCTCAGGGATTCCCCCTTCGGGCAGCAGCTGGGCCTGCTCTTGACCTTTCTCGGGCTAATAAAACAAAAAAGGAGGCTTTGAACCAGGACGACGCTGTTCATGATCATCCGAGTCAACTTTGCCCCAAGCCCATGGAAATGAGAGCCAAGACGGGCGGAAGGAAGTCAGCTAGTGGCACCCCAAAGGCTAACCATTTAACATCCAGGATTTGTGCCGTGAAACATCAGACTTTAAAAAACAAAACAAAACCCCAAAACCCAGTGGACTTCATAAGAGTCTAAACAGGGTAGCTTTAGGTGTTTTTACCTTTAAGAGCCACCTACGGGCTTCAGGGAAGGTGTGTGTGTGTGGTTTTTTTTTTTAATCCCCCTTAACGTGTAATTTACACACGCAGGAGAACTCTGAATAGACAACAGCAAGCTTCAAAAAGAAAAAGAACGGTGTGCCTGTTTTCCCTTCCCTTCCGCCCCCTGGTTAAATAACCCCGCGCTACCGTCGCCAGTCCGGAGCTTCCGGCCAGGCTCCCAGTCAGCCAGCTGTCCTCCACGGCCACGGTCGCGCCCTCCTCCAGCACCTCGAAGCGCACCACCTCCATCTCCTGCAGCGAGTACACCTGGTCCTGGATGCTGATGGCCACGCACCGGGGCGTGCTCGCGGGGGCCGCCTGGCCCGGCGGAGCCTGCAGCCACAGCAGCGGGGGCAGCGTGCCCCCCGCCTGCGACAGCACCAGCTGCATCTCCTCCTGGGGCTGGACGGGCAGCCAGCTCACGCCCTGCACCTCCTGGGCCTCGTCGTCGTCGTCCAGGGGCACCGTCTGCGGCGTCGTCAGCGCGTGCT